GGCCCGAGAGGGGCGCCTCTCGGCGGGGGGTGAGGGGTGGAGGGGGCGGGGGCGGGGGTGGAGGGGGGGTGCACGAAACAGGCCCCACGTTAGGTGTTATTAGGGCCTGGCCTTCAGCGAGGAGATGAAGGTTCGGAGAAGTGACTGGCCAGATCGCTGTTTCTCCCCGAGGGCTGGCTACTCGAGGGCCGACTCCCGCCGGACATTTCCACAGAGGGCCTCGGGGGCTAACCCGTCGGGAAGGTAACTTCCTTAGGGTCCCGCTAGAGCGCGCGCTTCCCCGAGAACGAGTGAAAGAGAGATCGTCGCCACCCGCACGGGAGAGAGGGAAACCCCCAGGCCGGGAGTCACAGAGCCGAGAGAGCTCGGGCCGGGCGGTGACCGCAAATGTCCCCATCGCGTTCCCGGCCTCGCTCCTGCCAACCCAGGTGCGTCGGAGCAGCAGCCCTCCTCCCCTCCGAGGTCCACGTCCGGTTCTCAGCGCTCCCTCCGGTAGACTGCAGCCGCTGGCGGGGCCTGTGCTCCAGACGCAGGCGGTGTCTTGGGACAGGCTGAGGGCCGCAGGTCACCGGACACGTTTCTCAGCCTCTCTGGTCTCGATGATCACAGCTGGGAAGTGAGGGTGAGAACGCTTCCCCTCACTCCGGGGTCCGGAGGATCCAAACGGATAGCAAAGCCTGCAAGGCAGGTGCGTCCGGCGCGCGGCGGAGGTGCGATCAGGGTTCTTTCCCCGCAGGGTTGACGCCACGGAGGAGTCCATGGGGTTGAAGGGCGACCGTGCTGGTCTCCCGGTCCTTACGGCTACGTGCAGGCTTTGCGGAGAACCAACCGAGGCGGGCCGGGGAGCGGTTGGCGGGGTGGGGGTGGCTCAGTCGCGGGAGGCTGGAGAGGAGGCGGGTAGGGGGAGGGCGGAGGCCGGCTGCCAGTCACAGGCACGGGCTCCTGCCCCGGCCGCAGTGCGCTCCCCGCCAAGGTCGGGGGCCGTGCCCGGGGGCCCCGGGGGGACGCGTCCCTCCCGGACGCACAGCGTTGACCCCGCGGTGTTCTCGGGCGCACGGGGACCGCTCGGGTCCCGGAGCTCCCCGCCACACACACACACACCCCCTCCGCTGCTTTGGGCCGGGCGTGGGGGGGGGGGTGTCAGCGTTGGGACGCCGGAGTTCCGGGGACTGGGGGCGGGGCCAGGGGCGGAGCGGGACAGCAGTGCTACGCCCCCGGGGCGGGGCGGGGCGGGGAGAGGCGGGGCATGCAAATCGCCGGTCATCCTCTCGGGAAGGACGCGAGGGAGCGGAAAGGGATGTGAAAATTCACCAGGAGCGCGGGGTAATCACTGCAACTGCAAGCGCGCGTGGAGCGGACCGCCGCAGGATAGTGAGCCGGGGATGTGGACAGAGGGTGCCACGGCTCACCGTGAGTGCAATATGGCTGGTGGCGGGGCGGTGGCGGCGAGGACAGGGCGCCAGGCATCGCTTCTCGGCCTTTTGGCTAAGATCAAGTGTAGTATCTGTTCTTATCAGTTTAATATCTGATACGTCCTCTACCCGAGGACAATATATTAAATGGATTTTTGAAGCCAGGAGTTGGTACAGGAGCTTGCTCCATCCACTCCACGCATCGACCTGGTATTGCAGTACTTCCGGGAACGGTGCACCCCCTTGGGGTCCCTACTTGCAGTGCCAAACAGCAGTTTCTTTCTGTGCGTGGCTAGTTTCCCACTTTGGTACCGGGTTTTCTGTTTTGCTCTTGGTGCTTTGTTGTCGTGGTTGCGTTTTCGCTTTGTTGTTTGTTGTTGTGTGGGTTAAGCAATGGGGGTTCATCTCCCGCGGCAAGCTTTTCCCGCACTCGCGGCTGTGGGTACGTATCGTTGATTTATGGTGGCGACGCAGGACGCTCTAGCGCTTTTGCTGTCATGTCAGTGTCTAGATTCTGTCCTACGTCCCGCCCCGCCCCGCGTGGCCTCGCACCTCGTTAACTCTGTGTGTCGGCGGCCGTCGGGATCGGTTTGCCCATTGTTTCGTGCTTCTTCTCGAAGTGCTTTTCCTGCTCTCTCTTCGCTTTGCTTTGCGCCCGGAGAGGTTGGCCCAGGCCGAGGGTTTGGCGACGAGCAGTTTTTGGTAGAAATACGTAACGCCCGTGCACATGTGACTCGACCTGCAATTTGGATGATTCAATCCGGCTGCTTCAGGTACCTCTCCACTCGCTCTGCCGGCCCCTCTTAACCGTTCGAAACAAAGGACGAGCAGCAGCTGAGGTCATGGCTACGAAGGTCTTCCCCGGTAGGGAAGGAAAATTCCTTCTTCCAGATCTACCTATGGCAGCGTTTATCGTAGGGAAGGAAAATTCCTTCTTCCAGATCTACCTATGGCAGCGTTTATCCACCCGGGTGACACCCCAGAAACTCCTGGGGTTTCGTTTCAATCCGGCTCATGCCCCAGCACCGCCAAACAGCAATCGAATTCGAGTCTCTGGGGCGGGGGCCCGAGGCTGGTGGCCCTCCAAGCCCGCCAGCCGGAAGCACTCCTCGGAGCATCTGGGAAGGTGCCGCCGGTCAGCTTCTTCTGAACCCTGAATTCCCCGTGACAATGAAAGCGTTGGGCGCACTCCTGCAGATCCAGGCACAAGTCGCTTCACTACAGTCCCGGGCCTGGCTTCGTGTTTAGCACACCGCAGGCACTCAGTAAACAGTGTACCGATGAGGAAATAACGGATTCCCTGGGCCTGGCACACACAGGAGACCCCCCCCCCCAAAGTCTAGTGAGGAGACCTTTGGACCCAGTCCCGGGATCTGTTGAGAGCCGGTGCGGGACGGAGCGAGCTGCTGTGGGGTGCTTCCGCTCTGTGGAACCAGATGGACCCCTTCCCCAGTTGATCCTCCACATTTGTTTTAGATGTGGAGACTGGTGACCCCCGTCCCCCACGAGGCTATGAAAAGGTTTATAGCTCACATAATGAGGCTTTCCAGGGAGAGCAAGGTGGCTCCCAGGCCGATTCAAAAAGGGCTTGAGGGCAAGGGGAGGAGTCTGGGTTGTTGTGTTTATGGTGGTGAGTGGAGGGCACCTTACAGATGACACGGGACCTTCTGTGATCCTGCCTTCCACGGTGGGCAGTCAACAGACGTCCATTGGATCAGAGTCTGATGTAATAAGGAGGGTTCCGGTCTGGGGGGCGGGGGCGGCGGCGGCGGCGGAGGGAAGGGGTGTGGGTTCCTGTGAGAAGCTGAACCTGCTGGCCAAGTTCAGGATGTGAATGAGCCTGTGAGGGACGGGACGTGCGGGTGAGGGGGCGATTATGGTAGGAAAGAGCCCACCAGAAGCAAGCGTCCCCTGGGGCAGTTCCAAGGCCCAGCTCCTAACTTGGAGGTGGCTGGGCAGGGCAGCCTGATGCAGACCGGTCCCCTCGTTCCCCCAAATCGGCCCCCCACTCTTGCTTCAGGCTGCAATGTCCCGGTTCCCCCCTCATGTGGATGTGCCCTGAAATTCTGACTCCCGTTGAAATTCGGACGTTAAGCCCCCCTCCGATGTCAGGCAGGCCTTCCCGATTCAGCTGGCTCTGTGTTCCATCCCACCATCGCATTTCTTGACTATGCATCACATGCTCCCGGTAGGGACACGGAGCCAAACGGGAGAGGCCTTGGGCCTCAAGGGGGTCACGGCCAGGTGGGAGCCCCAGCCATGTGTTCATCTCTCTCAGTCCCCTGTGCATCGGAACCTGGTGTTCTGGCCATTTGGGCAGGTGTCTTCTCTGGGTCCTGGGCCGGATGCTCCCCACATGGGGGCGGAGAGGAGAGAGGAACGGTGTCTGGCTTCTCTCTACTGCCAGGACCAAGCACCACCCTGGCGGGTGGTGTCGCAAGAGATGACTCTTGGTTAAGTTGGAACCGGTGGTGATGGCAGGAGGCCCAGAGTCCAGTGAGGTGGGACCTGGACTCCAGCTCGGACGTGGGCGGTTATGTCCTGCTGGGCAGATCCATTTCCCCAGAGTAAGAAAAGACAAGAGCTTTCTCACTGGGCACCCTGCTCTGTCCGAGGGTCCGTCCATTCTGTAGTGCCTGCCGCTTTCCAAAGGGGCGTCCATTCTCTTGAGAAGGATTCTCCGTACAAAGTGACCCTGCGCCCCACCCGAGACCATGAACGCCTAGGGGGCAGGAATCGGATCACAGTCGCCTCTCAGTGTTGGGCTCTGTCTCATGGGTGCCCAACCATCATCTGCATGGACATGATGGGTCAATCCCGTGGACTCAAAGAATCAAAGGTGGTTAGGTCAGTGTGTTCTGCTTTTCCTTTCTGTCTCTCTCTCTCTGTCTTTTTAAGATTTTTATTTATTTGTCAGAGAGAGAGAGCACAAGCAGGGGGAGCAGCAGAGGGAGAGGGAGAAGCAGGCTCCTCACTGAGCAAGGAGCCCGATGTGGGACTCGATCCCAGGACCCTGGGATCATGACCTGAGCCGAAGGCAGATGCTTAACAACTGAGCCACCCAGGCGTCCCTCCCTCCCTCTTTCTTTCTTTCTTTCTTTCTTTCTTTCTTTCTTTCTTTCTTTCTTTCTTTCTTTCTTTCTTTCTTTTTCTTTCTTTCTCTCTCTCTTTCTTTCTCTTTTTTTTAAGTAAGCTCTTGGCCCAAAGCAGTGCTTGAACTCATGACCCTGAGATCAAGAGTCGCATGTTCTACTGACAGCCAGCCAAGCACCCCTGTTCTGCTCCTTTTTTCTTTTTTAAAGATTTCATTTATTTCTTTGAGAGAGAGCACTCAGGCACACGCGAGTGGGGAGAGGGGCAGAGGGAGAGGATCTCAAGCAGATCTGGTCCTGAGCACAGAACCCAAGGCAGGGGTCGATCTCAGGACCCTGAGATGGCCTGAGTCAAAATCAAGAGTCCCATGCTTAACCTGGCTGAGCCACCCAGGCATCCCCTTTTCTGCTACTTTTTAAAGACAAATCCAAAGGGGGGGGGGGCGCGCCTGGCTGGCTTGGTCAGTAGAGCACCCGAGAGATTACTTGAAAATAAAATCTTAGCGGCGCCTGGGTGGCTCAGCCGGTTAAGCCGCTGCCTTGGGCTCAGGTCATGACCCCAGGGTCCTGGGATCGAGCCTTGCATCGGGTTCTCTGCTCAGTGGAGAGTCTGCTTCTCCCTCTCCCTCTGCCTGCCGCTGCCCCTGTTTGTGCTCACACACTCTCTCTGTCAAATAAATAAAATCTTAAAAAGAAATCTAGAAAAAGAGAAAGAAAGAAAAGAAAGAAAGAAAGAAAGAAAGAAAGAAAGGAAAGAAAGAAAGAAAGAAAGAAAGAAAGAAAACCGAAAAATCCAGGAATGTTACAAGAATTTAGGTGTGGTGCAGTTTAGGATCAGAGGTGGCATCTCTAAGTTGTGAAGGAAAAATTCAGTGATTTACACTGTACTGCAGAGTAGACACCAAATGGCTAAAGATTTAGCTGTGGAGAAAGAAGAAGAAAAAGACCTAGGGGAAGATTTAGGATATTATTTTATAACCTCACGGTGAAGTGCTTTCTACCTTTGACTCAACATCTGAAAAGTATTAAAAAAAAAAAACTGATGAATAGAATGATATGAAAAATGACTTTTTACAAGTTTATTTATTTAGTAACCTCTAGGCCCAGTGTGAGGCTCGGCCCCCACCCCTCCCACCGAGCCAACCCGGCGCCCCTAAGAAATAACTTTCAGTGGAACCTTAAGCACCTGGCATCATCACCCTGAGCAAGGCCCAAAGACAGCTATCCAACAGAAGAAAATATTCAAGGCTTAGAGGACAGACAGAGGGCCAACCCCCTTAATATGTAAAGTACAGCTACAGGCCCAACCGATTCACCTAGCCAGAAAAGGGCCGAAGTCCGTGAACAGAGAGAGTTCAGAGGGAGAAGAAACGTGGCGCTCACACACAGGAGAAGACACTCGGCCTGATTAGAGAAGTACACAGCAAAACTGCGCTGAGGTACCCTTTCCACCACCTCTAAGAAATGGCCCTCTCCCCCGCCACCTCCCGATCTGCCCGCCCCGCGTCGCCCAGAAGCAATCCCACTCGGCCGCCGCCGCGCGGAGTTGCCGGCGAGCCTGGGGAAGGAGGGGCCGCCTGAGAAGGTCCGCCGCGCTCTCGCTCTCGCTCTCGCTCTCGCTCTCGCTCTCGCTCTCGCTCTCGCAGTCGCTGTCCCCGATCCGCCGAAATTCAAGGCACTCTCGCGGCGAGGGTGGCCGGGACCATCCCGCCGCCGAGGGCACAGGCGGCACAGGACCGGCCTCCGCAGAGCGCAGTGTGCAGGCACTGGGGTCCGTGCGTGTCGATCAGAGTGAGTCTCGCCGAGGAAACGGGAACTGTTCCGTTCCGCGAATGTCATCTGGGACATCCCGTTCTCGGGACGGACCCGGCCGGGGCCCCGGACTCTGGGGCGGAAGACTGCCCGAACGACACGGACGCGAGCGGAGAAGTGCCGAGTAGGGAGGGCGCGCCGGGCACTGGCTGAGCGTGTGGGAGGCAAGATCCCATCCACCGAAGCGCTTGCTGAGTGTGCGGTACGTGCTGGGGGCGGGGGGAGAGGGGAGAGAGCAAAGTGACCAAAGCGAAGGTCTCGCCTTCACGGGCTCCCGGGAGCCCCGGGAGCTGCAGCCGTGTCAGCCGTCCCCAGTGCCGAGCCCCGGCGCGGGATGCGCGCGCGGCGGCAGGTGGGCGGCCGGCTGGGTTTGGGCTGGTGGCGCGCGGGGGCGGTCGGGAGGGTGGAGTCGGGCGGCGGCGGCCGCGCCCCCTCGGGGAGCTAAAGGCGGGGCATGCAGATTCGGAGTGGCTGTTGGGCGCGGGCCGGCCGGGGCAACCAGGGATACTCGGAGGTCTCTCGTTCCGAGGGAAGAGAAGGAACCGTCTGCACAAACGTCTAGTGGTACGGATGGAACTGTCGACGACGCAAAGGAAACGAGGCCAGGAGTGAGGGCCTGGGTTCTCACCGTGACTTGAATATGGATGATGGGAGGCCGGTGCCCAGGCGGCGGGGGCGGAAGGCTTCGCTTTCCGGCCATGTGGGTAAGTTCGAGTGTAGGGTGTGTCTTTGTCAGCGTAGTATGTGGTGCGTTTTCTCCCGGAGGACGGTATATTAGGTGGGGTTTTGGAGGTGGGTTGTGGAACTTGCTCTGTTTTTTCTGCGCGTCGACCTGGTGTTACGCAACTTGCGGGAGCGGTGCTCGTTCTCCCAATTTACTACCGAGGTGAAAAAATAGGTTTGGATGCTTTTTCTACGCGTTTATGCTATTACGGTGTTTTGTACGGGCGTGCGGCCTTGTTTTTGTTTTGGGGTCCCTTGGAAACTCTCCCAGGGAGGACACACGTTCCTGCTTCGTCCTGTGGCGGCTGCTTGTTTTTCTTTTTCTCCGCTTCCTGCGCTTGGGCCTTGGTTTCCACGGTGTTGTTCCTTATAGGTCCCTGCCTTGCTATGTCACCCACCCGTTGCCTTTCCTTGTTGTTGCGTTTCCTTGCTCCTGTCATCCGTCCAGCCGCAGGACATTCCCTCGAACGTTAGCTCCCGGCTGTCTCCCTTTCCAACACAATCGTGTCATACAATCGTGTCGTTCCGGCTGTCTCTTTTTCCCACACACTCGTGTCATTCCCGCTGATCTCAACAGCCTCACTGCTGATCCTTCCGAACCCCTTCGTCTCAGTTCTCCGACCTCGGCTACCCTTACCTAAAGCACTCACTCCCCTGGTCCGACCCTAGATCTTGTCATTACGAATTGCTCTAACCCCTTCCACATGCAGTCTTACACTGGCCAGTCACCTTCTTCCCCCCCCGCCCCCGCCTGCCCTTTGGTACCACCTACCACTTTTCACTGTCCCTTCACCCCCAAGCCACCAATGTCCTCCCATCCTTTTTATTATTATTCTTTTCTGTAGAAGCTTAAGTATTCGGTTTATTTGGATAGCATACTTGAACATATTAAAAGTTACAAAGCCTAAAATAAGCAACAAGTCAATAAAATCACAACTCAAGAATTCTTTTTCACGTGGTATCACTGACTATGAAATGCAAAAAGACTATAAATGTTTTACGTGGAATGATCTCTAACCTAATAAATTACACTAGTGTGACCAAACAGATGATCGCATACTGTGGAAGACAATAGAACATGAGCTGTTCTCCAGGACTGCTTTTTCAAAGCTTGAAAGATGAACTGACCCATCATTTTAGGGGGAAAAAGAGAAGTATGGATTACGAGGCTCTACATGTAGATTTTAAAAATTCTAATTAAAACATCTTAAGACTATTTTAGATGTTTATTTGACATTGGAAATGTAGTCGACTATCAAAGTATTTCTCTTCATCACGAAAATTCCATGTATTAAGGATTTACACAATCTGGGGAGGGCGGGGGGGGGGGCCCTAGAAACATTTTTGTTGCCTGAGCAAGTAATTTTCAAAAAAGACTCTCCAAAGTCTTGACTAGAGGCGTCATACTCTGCAATGAAATGCTTGAGTTCTTCAACACACCGCTCACCTATTTCATGTAAATTCTGTCTCAGTGCAAACCGTACAGACTTTTCTAAGGAAGGATCTTTTTCAATCAGCATTTTCACAACCCTCCCGAAAGTTCCACAGTCTTGTCGGTAAACCTGTTCCATCTCTTTGGTTTTTGATGCTATTGCTTTAGAGCGACTGCTTAGTTGACTGTCTTCAAATAATTCTATGCCATCTGTTGCATTTGACTCAGGTTCCTCTGGCTGCTCGATAAACAACGGTGCTGTGGATCCTGGCTCATACTCAATCTCAGGTAAGTTACTCTCATCTGCCTTCTCTAGCTTCTCAGCAGCCCACTTGCCTGCAGCCTCGGCACGTTCCTTTTCAGTTAGCCTACTGGGTCTGTCTAACACCTTTGATATGTCCTCCCATCCTTACTGACCGAGATTAATTTCCCTGCACACGCCCTTGGTGCCACCTGTGCCACTGAACGTGGCCGGCAGAAAGCATAGCACCAGGCTCACGTGGCTCACCTTGGCGCCCGGTATGCCGGGGAAAACCGGACATCGTCAGCGTTTGCTACCGGGCACCCAAGAGGCCCTTCCACGAGAGGTAAAAATAAAGCATAGTGGGCAACGGCTTTATTAAAAATGGCCATACGAATTTAAACATAGCACACCTACGTTGTAAATTACTTCATAGTTTCCAGGTTCTGAAGGTCTGAATACCTGAATCTTGCGACATGCTCCGAATGCCAGGAACTGCTCGTTGGCTTGTCCTACCCGGCCTGCGGGATACCGCCTCCGGACCTCAAATCCATCCCCAACAGGTTCGGCCTCACCACGACTTCTGGTCCTTCTTGCGCTTGCATTGTCAAAAGGTAACAGCTGAAGAAATTTTTTGTGACCCTTGTTGAACTGCAAATCCTGGGGTTGGAGAAAATTCATCTAGGATATTGTCATTTTCAGACATGCGGTCGGAGATGTCCCTCGTGTAATCCCGTTCACCGTCCTCATTAGAGACCAGTCCTTTGCTTTCATCTTCTGATTCCTCTGCCGGTACCGTCATGATCGGTCTCACGGAAATGGGCGCCTCTGGCCGTGTCCTTCTCTTTGTCATCGGGGGTGGAAAGATGAAAATTTCCCAATTCTCGCTTGCAGTCAGCAAAAGCAAAATCGAGCCTTCGGAGATGGTGTCTCCCGCCTGCTTGTCTACCTTCGGGAAAGGGGAATGCGTACTTTGTTACCGCAACAAGGCAAGGAGAAAACGGAAGGATGGTGGGTGCCACGGCGACGACTTGTTCCGCGACCGCTGCATCACCCCTCTGAGGGATTCCTTCATTCCCCCATTTTCCTGATCCTTGTAGACTTTTTCGTCCTAGCTATGGATGGAGGAATAAGTGCAGGCAGGCCGAAATACGCCTAGGATGACGACACGGCAAATCGTGTCGAGATACGGGGAAAGTTAGATCGCGAAGACGCCGTGATGTGTCTTCGGTTTTGAGAGAGAGGAAAGCGGCGGCAGGAGCTGGCCCGCCACTCACAGCTAGCCGTGGTGGTCTCCGGTTGGACATACACGGTTTCGCCCAGCAGTGGCAACCTTAAAAATAAAATAGCCAGTTATTTTCCTAGCAAAATGAGTCTGTTCGGGGATGGCAGAGGCATTGCAGTTAGGGACGGACATGCAAGCTAGGGGGGAGCCTACAGGCAAGTCCGAAGAGGCAAAGGGAAGGTCAGCTTTTTTTTTTTTTTTTCACTTTTTTTATTTTTTGGAAGGTCAGCTTCTTTTAGGTTTTAGGAGGACATTGGGGAGGCTTGCTTTGAACCAAAGTTCACTGGAGAAGAACAAGAGTTTGAGGTTGTGGCAGTTTCCCATCAAAGTGCAAGCGGTGGTTAGTGCCTGGTTGCTGGGGCAAGGAGGGCTCTATCCTTCTTTTTCTTACAGGCAGGAGCTGAACTGCCTATGTGAAAAGGTTCCCCCTTGTCAGAATAATTTTTGTTTTCCTTCTTCCTGCTGGTTAGGCAGGCCGCAAGGAGTGGTACGTGCTTGAGAGCTCCCCTTTCAGGGCTTCCTGGCTCCATTTTAAGTGAGATTTCCTTTATTTATTTTCAACATCAACATCAGAAAAGGCCGCTCTGGGACCGCGACGAATCAAGACAGAAGAAGTGAGACCACTCCGTGGTCACGTCGGAACGGAGACAAAAAAAGAAGAATGTTGTCCGAACAACAAAATGCACCAAACACCCCCCCTTATCCTGGCTAATACGAGTAGCTGCTACTCCTTTACCAGTTTGCAGCTTTGGCCTCACTCTGTTTTTCCTTTCTTCCGGGTAAGATTTATTCAGTTACCCAATCACTGAATTACCCTGACTTCCCGAAAGCATCTGTAGGGCGGGGGAGATCTTTTTCCTTCTGCCCTTCGAGGTTCTTGGGGTGGGGGTGGGGGTATGGCTGGGGCTTTGTCACAAAAGACAGATTAACGAGAGAAAAACAAACGGAAGTTTATTAGTGTGTATATCTCATATATACATGGGAGAAACTTAGGGATGAGTAACTCAATGGGGTGGCTAGAACTTGGGCTTATATAGCTCCTTAACACAGAAGGAACAGGAAAAAGAGAAAAAAAGAAAGGAAAAAATAAATAAATAAATAAATTTTCAGAGAAGTGACAAGACAAAGTAAAAGGGCTTTGAGTTTCTAGGGTGGCAAACTGTAGGAAGTTAAATATAGGGGGGAATAGGAGAAGATAAGGGCCGTCCAGTAAAGTTTGTTACGTAGAGTCCTCTGGTGCCAGTCTCTGGGCCGATAAGGATCTAGGGTTGTCAGTGATCAACTTCTGTACACATTTCTGTCCTGCTTTGAGGCAAATCGGAAGAGGGCAGAGTTCTTCCTTCTATCTGTTTCAGCTCAAAATCATCTTTCTGCCAAAGTGGCATATTGGGGGGTGGGCGGTGGGGGGTGGGTTAGCAAATGCTGCTACCCTTCACACCCCATTCAAAGGAAGGCCTCGCTTGCTTAAACTGTCCCGCAAGCCCACATCCTATACGTAATAAGCCATTCCTGACACCCTCGCCCCGAAGCGCGTCCCCTCTCACTTTTGCAACTAGGATAACCCAATTCGTCTCATCACGGGCGTGTTCCTGGTGGTCTTTGGCTGGATGGTGTTGGCAAGTTATTAAGAGGCTCCACCGAAGGACCCCTCTGGTAACTGCAATATGGAATGAGTTTTGTTCTGTTTAAGAGGCAAGGTGTTCTCTTTTTTTCATTACATCCATCTGAAGGGTCTCGTGACTAAGGTCTTATTAGCTGATAATAAATGACCTTTTCCCAACAATAGCTAGCCCCTTCAAGGTCCTGGAAACCTTGCTTCCAAAATTCCTTAGAGACTTGGGCTATCCCTAACCCTTCCCAGCTGGAAAGTATATAATGGACCACTCCTCATGACCCCAGTGCAGCTCTTTCTGCCCCCGGGCCCTGTCCCCGTGCTTTCGCGAAACCGCCGTTTTGCACCCGAGACGTCTCAGGAATTCTTTCTTGTCCGTTGGCTTCGAACCTTAACGTTCTTTCCTACATCATGGGGCGCCCCGGACGTGGGGAGACTCTGGGTCCAGAGTCTCATCTGGACTCAGCCTCGGTGCAAACTTGGCGAGTGCTTTCTCTTCTCTTCCTTTACTCTCATTTTCGGGGCTCTTCAAGGAGCACGGTCTTCCTGGAACACTTTCACGCCGATTGCTCAGGCTGCAATCCTCTAGCCCGTGGCAACTCTACTGGGAGGAGAAAGCCTGCCTTTTGGCTGGAAGTTAGTAGTACCCTGGCCGGGATGGTAACAAGACGCAGAGACTCGATGCCCTCTCTTATTCCTGTCCTTACACAAAGTTGTCTGTCTTGGGCACGGGCCAGCCACCTGAGTCACCAGGACGGCTGCCAACCTTAAGACTCCCGTGTGAGGTTTCCTCCTGATTGATCTAATGGGATCCCCTTCACATCCCTGGTCTAGCCGCTTCTGGCCGCGGGACCTCCAGTGGGAGCCGGCAGAAACCAGTACCCGATGGAATTAGAACCCAACCGGGGACCGTTTCCTAGGGAAGTTCGCTGTAAGGACTGCCTGTGTTGGAATGTCGCTTGGATCATGGTGGATTTCTGTCTTTACTGTTTTCCATCAACTGAGTACTTAGTCCTCTACTAAGTACTTAAGCTACAAAATTCGGTAATTTCCCCTTGTAAAACTTTCCTAGTGTTGTCCATGGGTTAAAAACAGCAAGTTCTTGGGGCGCCTGGGTGGCTCAGTCGTTAAGCGTCTGCCTTCGGCTCAGGTCATGATTCCAGGTCCTGGGATCGAGCCCCGCGTCGGGCTCCCTGCTCGGCGGGAAGCCTGCTTCTCCCTCTCCCGCTCCCCCTGCTTGTGTTCCCTCTCTCGCTGTGTCTCTCTCTGTCAAATAAATAAATAAAATATTAAAAAAAAAAAAAACAAAAAACAGCACGTTCTTTAAGGCAAGGTAAAATAAGGCATGACCTTCAAGGCGAGGTAAAATAAGGCGTGACCTTCACGGCACGACCTCCAAGGCACGGTATTTCGCTCCACACGCCAGGCACCTATCTGTAGCCTAGGATGCAATGGGGAAGCTGGGGGGTGGGGAGGGGCGGGGAGGGGGACGCTAGCATCCCAGGGGCCTTTATCGGTGGCGGTGGTCACAGCGATTTCGTTCAGGGGACGCCTCGGGTCGCTTTGACACCGGGAACCTCTGACTTATCCTGCGTGGGACGCCACCCGGGAGTCGGGGGGGGGGGGGGAATGGGGATTTTCTAGGTAATGGACCTTCTCTTTTCTTCAGTTCCCAAGGACTCTCCCTCGGGGTGACTTTTAACCCACTGGAAACAATTCGGATTGCAAAACGTAGGAAAGGACTGAGCTCCTGTGACAACCGCATGGCCTCAGTGGGATCTATCAGTTAGATCTCTTCTGCAGGAAACAGGGCAAATGGACCTAGGTTACCTTCATTGCTCTACACCAAGGCCCCGACCTAAGGGCCTCTTGCAGAATGTGTTTGCCTGAGTGGGACGGCTAGTAAACTCCCTCCTGACATATTGGATGATAATTATCTAAATAGGCCCCCTCCGAATAAACCCAGGTTGCTGGAAGAAACATAGGCCCTCCCTAGCAAAGGGGACTCTGACACTCTCTCTCCCTCTCTCCCTCTCTCCCTCTCTCTCTCTCTCTCCCTCTCTCCCTCTCTCCCTCTCTCTCTCTCTCTCCCTCTCTCCCTCTCTCTCTCTCTCTCTCCCTCTCTCTCTCTCTCTCTCTCTCTCTCTGTCACTGTTCCTCCTCCTAATAGATGTAGGGGCTTCTTCCTCACTCATTTCCCGGGTTAATGGCTATAACTGGAGCCAACTGTGGTTAGTCTACCTCGGGATGGGGACTTTAGGGAATATTCCCAAGCAGCTGCCGAAACTCCCTTTGTTTCAGGGAAATTTCCTGTCTTCTCTGGCCCGGCGCAGACCGCCTGTTCCCCCCTTACTGGGGGGGAACCGTGGCGTCTGTGCCTCTGTTGGAGCCGATGAGCTCTAAAACCGGGAACGCTTTCTCTGCCTTCTGGCAGCACTTGGCCTCTTCTGTCTCCCCCTCCCGCTTCTGTGTCCGCACCACCTTGGGTGCAGCCTGCACAACAGGCTTCCCTACCATCCTCGGTGGCGCAGGCCCCATGGCTCCTCCCTTCACTGTCAAGGAGCAAGAAGAGGGGCGCCTGGGTGGCTCAGTTGTTAAGCGCCTGCCTTCGGCTCGGGTCATGATCCCGGGGTCCTGGGATCCAGCCCCGCGTCGGGCTCCCCGCTCAGCGGGAAGCCTGCTTCTCCCTCTCCCGCTCCCCCTGCTTGTGTTCCCTCTCTCGCTCGCTCTCTCTGTCGAAAAATAAATAAAATCTTAAAAAAAAAAAAATAAAATAAACAGCTGGAAAATGGGATTGGTTCCGCAACAGTTGTATAACTCAACTAGCACCTTGACCAATTCTATGGGGCTGGGATGACAAAATCGTTCCCTAAAAGCCAGAGCATACCCCGCTCTGTAGGGTTAACTATGGGCTTGTGGAGATAATGGATGACCCCACTTTATGACTGGATTGGATGATGCACTTGGGGATGCCCTTATCTCTTGACAAGTCTTCTCCCACTTGCCAGTGATTCCTTATAATTAGGATATTGTTAAGGCTAGACCTCAGACAAAAAGGGCTGCTTGATGGTTTCATCTCTCATAGTCATATTTATCCTAGAGGCCACCTCTATTGAGGTACAATTGCAAACGAGGGCTTTAGCCAAGCGCATAATAGCCCTCCTGGTTTAAAAAAAAAAAAAAAAAAAAAAAAAGAGCCTCAAAGCTCACTACGGGACGGTCCCTGACTGTAATGACGTCACATCAGGTCCAGAGTGTCTTAGAGACCAAAGGCCACCAACGGACGATGGGAGGCCGACTTATTAAGTACCGGGTTATGCTTATAGATATGCCTGAAATAATACTCGAAACCTGTCAGACTTCGAACCCAGCTACCCTTATACCTGGACCCGAGCGTCGTACTTCTCTAGAGCATAACTGTTCAGAGGTTATTGATCTCGTTTATTCTAGCCAACCAGATTTAAAAGGCGCCCCTATTGAAAATACAGATGACAGTTGGTTTGCTGATGGCAACGGTTTCATGGAAAAGGGAATAAGAAAAGCTGGGTATGCTATAGTGCTCACTCGTGCTTGGCAATTATTATTGTTAAAATAATAATAATTATTATTAAAAGTTAATATTTATGCTGACTCCACATATGCTTCCCTAGTCCTACATGTCCATGGAGCAATTTGGAAGAAAAGGGGATTATTATCGAGCCATAAATCAAATATGGGCCTGAAATTATTACTCTTCTTGAGGCTGTACACCTACCTAAGGAAGTAGCTGTAATTCACCTCAAGGACATCGAGGGATAGGACCTTAGAATCTAAAGGAAACAATTCACTAGACCGTGCAACCAAGCAGGCAGCACAGAATAAACAAGTATTAAGTCTTTTATCCGTCTTAACTCCAATAAAGTCCATAAGTCCAGTCCCTTCAGACCAAGAAATGCCCAGGACTGGCTTGTTAATAATGAAGGAAAAAAATCTTTTTTTTTTTTTTTAAGACTTTATTTATTTGACAGAGAGAGACACAGCGAGAGAGGGAACGCAAGCAGGGAGAGTGGGAGAGGGAGAGGCAGGCCCCCTGCAGAGCAGGGAGCCCGATGCGGGGCTCGATCCCAGGACCCCGTGATCACGACCCGAGCCGAAGGCAGACGCCTAATGACTGAGCCACCCGGGCGCCCTAGGAAAAAAAATCTTTATACCCAAAAGTAACCAATGGAAGGTAATACAGGATTCACACCGGGCTTCCGATTTGGGTAAAAAGGCCACGGAGGTGACAAAGACTTTGCTAAGAAAAAAACTTCTCTAGATTTGGACTCCCTTGGTCCCTACAGAGTGACAACGGACTGGCTTTTATTACACAAATTCAAAAGACGGCCCTCCGAAACTGAATAGCCCTTGATATTCTGACTGCAGTTAAAGGAGCCCAGAATTAGCTGACTGTCTCTCCTAACAGGACCCAGTGGCTATACGACTCTAACTTGTGTCCATGGCTTCCCCCAGGCTGGACAGGCCACTGTACTCTGGGTTTGGCCTGGGTGCACGGATGCATTACTAAAACCATTACCAACCCAGTCAACCTTCCAAACTTAAAACAGTGGTGAAGACATTCTGTGTCTCATCGGTATGACCACCCAGCATCCATTTTTGTTCCCTCTTCGGTCGGAACTGAACGATGAAACTTGTTTGGCACATGGAAGCTCTTAATAAGTACATGGCCGAGGCCCTAAATGACACCCCAAACAGCATTTCTCTATTAAATAACTAAAACAGCACAAGTGCTTAAAGCAGTTTTACAAAACAGAATGACGTTAGATGTTTCAAGTGCTACCTAAGGTGAAATGTGTGCTCGCGTAAAAACAAAACGCTATGTATGCGTTCCAGATTATCACAAAATGTTTCTGGGTTTCTGGCATGAATCCAACAATCCCTCGCTTTCCTTTAATGATCGGTGAAACTCCCGGACTGGAAAAGGATTTTTGTCAACTATCAAAGGACTCGTATTTGAGCTGCTTTTTCTTTTGGTTACACGGATCATGTTTTGCTGTTTTCTCCCATGTCTCTCCACCCGGTTTCAAGACTCCTTCACTGCCGTAACTTCAAGCCAACAGATGATCCTTTCCACCTAGGAAGGTCTACACGTGCAGTCTCCCTTGGATTCAGCTGCCTCTGTCTTTGGTAACTCCTATTATCTGTATACGCCCCGACTGACCAACGTGGACCCATGGGTAGGGACATCTCTATGCCCCGATTCAGCAGGAAGAAGTTACAGAAGATGAGACCTTCCACCCTCAAAACCTTGAAGATTTAAGGGTCAGAATTGTTCAGGGGGGAAAGATACGGGAAACAAAGGCAAAAGAAAAATTATTAAATTTCCTTACTACCTATAGCCCACTGATGAAGTCCTTGAAACAGGCAGAGTGACATTCCTCTAGGGACTCAACTGCCTCGATGTTAATACCTTGCTAAGGGCAAAAGGCAATCCTAGCCTGACACCCCCCCCCCCCCAACCAGGATCCCGTAAGTCTACTTTAACGTACAGAAGTCCCTTTATTTCTAAACCCCCAAGATACGTGTTGGCAATCATCCCCCAAGCCTATGGCCCACCCACGATATCCATCTGAAGGGTCTCATGACTAAGGTTCTATTAGACGGTAATAAATGACCTCTTCCCAACAATAGCTAGCCCCCTCAAGGTCCTGGAAACCTTGCTTCCAAAATTCCTTATAGAGACTTACGCCATCCCTAACCCTCTCCCACCTTGAAGGTATATATCCGGCCAGCTCTTTCTGCCCACGGGCCCTGTCCCCGTGCTCTAATAAAATCACCTTTTTGCACCAAAGACCTCTCAAGAATCCCTTGTTGTTGGGGGGGGGGGGCGGGGGGGCGGGGGGGGGGGGGGGGGGGGGAGGATGGGTTAGCCTGGTGATGGGTATTAAAGAGGGCACGTTCTGCAAGGAGCACTGGGTGTTATGCACAAACAATGAATCATGGAACACTACATCTAAAACGAATGATGTATGGTGATTAACATAACAATAAAAAATTTTAAAAAAAGAATCCTTTTTTTTTTTTTTTTTTTTAAGATTTTATTTATTTGACAGAGAGAGATACAGCGAGAGAGGGAACACAAGCAGGGGGAGTGGGAGAGGGAGAAGCAGGCTTCCCGGGGAACAGGGAGCCCGATGCGGGGCTCGATCCCAGGACCCCGGGACCATGACCTGAGCCGAAGGCAGACGCTTAACGACCGAGCCACCCAGGCGCCCCAAAAGAATCCCTTGTTGTTGGTTGGCTTCGAACCCTAACGTCCTTTCCTACATCATG